AATTGTTCATCAACTTTTTAATAATCACACAGATTTCCAAGATAATGATGCACAAGAGACGGCCAGTGAAGGAATACCAATGGCCAGAATCTTATCCTAAGAAAAAGAAAATAATATTGTATTTTAGAGCAAGAAAGACTTTCCAAAATTAATAGTAAATTTCAAAAAAATTATCAACTTAGGTAGTGTTTTGAGTGTGGATGGATATAAACACGGGTAGTTTAGACTTTTTATCCAAAATTTTAACATTGTTAGCAAGAGTTTCAAAGGTCCATAGTAGTTTGATATAATTTTGCATTGTAGTTTAGCCCTTTACCGGACTCGCCTGCATACCATCAGACTAAGTTACCAGACTAAGTTTGATATAATTTTGCATTGTAGTTTAGCCCTTTACCAGACTCGCGTGCCTTCTATATCTCACTTTAAAAATGCCATCAACATTCTTTTCGTCTTTCTCATAAAACATGTTTATAGTTTTTTTCTTTTTTCTGCAAAACCCCTCAAAATTAACAGTAGTTTGTGAAATGTAACCAAAAGAAATTTCTGTATCCTTCCAAATGTGCAAACACCTTCTTCAAAAGCAATAAAAATTTGTATTATCTTAAATAAGGCACAACAAAAATCATGAAATAATTCTAGTTGACACTCTTTTTTCCCATAAATGACGAACATTGTCGGACTAATATATAGAGAAAATATACAGCAAGTACTAGGTTATTTTTATCAAATTTAGGAACAAAGAACATTGAGTACTTGATGGTCAAATAGCAAACATATATGAAAATGAGATAAAAGAGAATGAATAAAGCCCTGAATATACCTGAACACACTGAAGTTTCCATCTCAATTAGATTTGTTGGTGATAGCCTTCCTGACTTTGAGTACGTCAATGAAGAATAGTCTATGATCATTCTTTTTTCCCTTTGCCCCTTTGTTTTCTCAGTATTTTTCATCCCTGTATGTCAATTTAAACAGCAGAGGTGTCATTAGTACAACAAGGAATGATTTAGTCAGCTGTTGTGTTACTTTCATCTGATAATAGAAAATACAATATTTAACATAGAGCATTTCAGATTGTTTTTGCCCCGTAGTACCCAAACAAAAAAAATATTATATCCATCTCCAGATAATTTAAAGAACCAGCATGTGCATTGATTCGATAAGGACACACGAAAAGATTCCTTACCAGAAGGAACACTAGAAAATAACAAATTAAGATATAACGTAAACAATCACTGTACCAAAACAAACAATGTTTAGTTCTGTCCATTCTCAACAAACAAAACCATCTGATGAATAAGGAAATGGCCTTTGGCAGACCCATTCAGAAGCTTTTCCTCCTCAGTGGACAGAGAATAAATAATAAGATAAATTCTTGGACAGCGGTGGTTGAGAAGAAGAGTTAAGCAATCATGCTGTGTTAACTACTATGACCTTATAAATAGGATCACTTCTACAACTTAAACCAGAAACTGAGAAACCTTCAAGACAAAAATGGGTTTCTTTCTTCAGATACAATATTTTTGTGTTTCTATCTTCTTTGTCTTCTTTTGCAACCTATGGGTTGGGAGGCTTCTAAGGAAGAAAAGTAGCACACAATACAAAGAGGCTCCTCAGCCACCAGGCGCCTTGCCCATGGTTGGCCATCTTCACCTCCTCAAGGGCCCAAAGCCGCTAGCTCAGCTACTAGGCGAGATGGCAGATAAGTGTGGTCCAGTTTTCATGTTGCGATTAGGCCAGAGAAATATGCTTGTTGTCAACAATGTAGAAGGAGTAAAGGATTGTTTTTCCACCAACGATAAGGCTCTTGCTTCTCGTCCTGCCTATGCAGCTGGCAAGTATATGGGATATGATTATGCCATGTTCGGTTTTGCACCTTACGGACCATACTGGCGCTTGATTCGCAAGATATGCACAAAAGAGCTCCTCTCAAACACTCGTCTTGAGATGCTCAAGCATGTTCGATCAATGGAAACTGATATGTTCCTAAAGGAACTGCATGAAATGTGGATGAATAATAAGCAGAGTCCAATTAAGGTTGACATGAAACCATTACTAGGGGATCTAGCATACAATATAATTGTTAATATGGTGGTTGGGAAGAGGTATTTTGGTTCTACAGGCGATGCCTCTGATGAAGCATGGAGATTTAGAAGCGCAGTTACTCAGTTCTTCAAGTTGTTACGTGCTTTTGTTCCATCAGACATGTTTCCTTTTATGAAGTGGATTTATGTCAATGGGAAAGAAGCTGCAATGAAATCTCTTGCTCGAGAACTGGATTCAATTATGAGTAACTTTGTTGAGGAGCATCGAAAAAGGAGGACTTCTCAAAAGGCTAATGGTGATCATGACTTTATGGATGTGATGTTATCAACAATGGAAGATGCCCAGTATTCTGAACTGGATCCAGATAAAGTTATCAAAGCCACCTCCCTGGTATGTGGAATACTGAAAACCTCTTCTTATCATTTTGTTATGTTTTTCATATCTATAGGACTCCCCTTTAAGTGGGATACTTTTTAGGTGGTTCTATAGATGGATCAGGGGAAATGATTTATTCTGAAGTTAGTTAAAAACTTTGTAAGACCGCATACTAAAGATTGAGAATCTGGGGGGTAGAATTCAGGTAGCAAACAGTGGATGGTGATTGGTGCTACTAGCATCTAAAAATGAAGCCTTAAAACAGTTTCACAAACTTTATTAAACTCAGAAAGCACAGAAGTAAAATCACCAAAAAGTTGAATGCCCTTTGTGGAAATATTACATACCTTTTACGT